CAATTCATATAGCTTCACATTTTAATTTTCATATACCTTCAAAAAACTAGCTTTTATCTGTCTCTTAAATATATACATAGATTTGGCATTTTTAAAATCATCCTCCAGACCATTCCACAATCCTTTACCCTGGATTAAACTATACCCTGGATTAAACTATACCCTGGATTAAACTATAATCTGGATTAAACTATACCCTGGATTAAACTATACCCTGGATTAAAGTACATCTTTCTCTCAAACAAGTACAAAAATATGGCTTCACAAACATTTCCATCACTTTAAGATAATAACAACTGTCTGTTTTAACAAAGTTTGCCTGAATGTTGGAAGGTAATAGATAAACCACACATACATTTGTCCCTTTTGTCCTTATATTTTGCACTAAAACAAAAGAAAATCCAAAAACAAGCTAATATCAGAACTAACTTTTTGTTTAGTGTTTTATCTACTTCACAAACTTTGGAAACCATTAGCAGACCCATTTTACTGCTCCTCACCGCTAACTTTGTGTGCTAACGAAAAAAACAAAACAATAATCCACTCACACGTGCAGCTCTACATGCCTGCGTCATGCACCTTGTGTGTAGCATCTTTAGCYTTTTGTGTGTCCACCTGCATTAGTTTTCAGCTGGAAGGAGATGATCATGTGTGACACAGATTGACAGTCGTCTTCATRCACTCAAATCCATGCAGTTTGTTCAGAAACAATGATTTCAGCCAAGGAAAACACGTTTTAAGTTCACATCATTTTATCCCGGTGGATTTATGATTTGAAGGAAATATATAAAAAGAGGGATTTTCGGATTTTGTTTTTCAAACACTAAACATGCTGGTCTTATTTGCTTGTGGTGCAGTGGATAACGGCCTGATCTCAGTCCAGTTTAAAATCTCTGGTGGAAATTGAAGAAAAATGGTCAATCACAAGGCTAAACTAGCAAAGCTGATCTGGTAACAGCAATAAGAGATGGTTGGAACCTGATAAAGAGTACTGTTTGTCATTAAGCCATCATAAAAAACCAGAGCAACAACGTTCTAATGGTGCAGCGTTTTCTCTCATGGTGTCACCATTTTTTCCTCTACTTGATCTAAAAAAATCAATTGTGACTGACTACAACAATTATATTTTTATTTTTTCTTAATGCCAGAAATTATAATTATATTTTAAAAATTATAGTTTTAGTCATGGCCCACACAAAGCACTAACACTCGGCCCAGATACCATAAATAACGGCGGCCCCCTCGGTGGTTTTCAAGTGGTGGTCCTCACGTGTCAGCACCATGTTATTTTATAAACAGTGCCATCGTTGCCAGACCTGGCCCACATCTGGTTGACAGACCACCTGCCACGTCAACAGGGCCAGTCTGATGCCAGGGCCCGTATTTATCTAACTTCTTAGAATTCCTCTTAAGAATGTTGCTAAGAGTGGACTTAAGTGTAAAAAAATTCTTAGTTAAAAGCTGAGAGTAAAAGTCAGTTATCAAGCGTCTCAGTCTTACTTTAAGTGAAGTGTAGGAGTAAATCTTAAGTGTCAGTCTTACTTTAAGTGAAGTGTAGGAGTAAACTTAAGTGTCAGTCTTACTTTAAGTGAAGTATAGGAGTAATTAAGTGTCAGTCTTACTTTAAGTGAAGTGTAGGAGTAAATCTTAAGTGTCAGTCTTACTTTAAGTGAAGTATAGGAGTAATTAAGTGTCAGTCTTACTTTAAGTGAAGTGTAGGAGTAAATCTTAAGTGTCAGTCTTACTTTAAGTGAAGTATAGGAGTAATTAAGTGTCAGTCTTACTTTAAGTGAAGTGTAGGAGTAATTCTTAAGTGTCAGTCTTACTTTAAGTGAAGTATAGGAGTAATTAAG